CATAAAAACTATCTCAGTAGTTAGCAGCAATTTATTGTCATGTTTCCAGCAATAACACTACAGGTACAGCATTATCGCATGTCAATTTACACCACAACTTAACAGTGACAACATTTAAATGCAAATGTTATTTACAACACATTTCAAGTCATTTATTTTTAAAACAATAAATTCAAGACTTGTTATCTAAACCAGAATACTACAAGAATCAAAATAAACTGTTCGAATGAAAGCACTAAATGTGACAGAGGAACACATTTATTCATAATCAAAGATGCTTTCAAATAGCTTGCAGAGTTAGATGAAAACAAATATATTATCAAATGCAGTTTTACAAGCCTGTTGTTAGCACAAAGTAAACAAAATTTAATGTCACCAAATACTGATGACTGATTTTAAAATGCATACAAATAATTTAAAAACCATGGGTCTATCTGTGAGTGGGTGGTTGTGATGGAAGAGGTGTACAGGGAATTCATTTGTTCTTCATGCACATTTCACTGAGATATCACAATCACAAATATTGTTTAAAAAAAATGTCATTTATTCTAATGCCAACTAAATCAATTTTTATTTTAAAAAACATAACAAGCAACATTTTTCAGATTCAATTGAAAAGCCAGAATTGGCTTTATTAGTAGATTAAGAGGAAGGGATTCTCTTGGTTTTAATCAGATGTAATTGATTCCACTTGCTCTATTTTCAACTATGTTTGCAAGTACCTTAACCTTTATAAAGGCCTGAGTGTATGTGTCAGTCAGTATTGACAAAATAGTTGTTGTTTTTTTATAGTTTTGTGGTCAAAACAATGTTGCTCTGGCTATTAACTTCTAATGAGGACTTATGAATGTTTTACTGGCATGGATCAACAAAACCAATCATAAGAAACAATTAACAAAAAACTATACATTATTAAACTTAAAAGCATATGTATTTTAGTGACTAAAAATTACTAGCATCTCCTTTGACAAAGTGAGGGATCAGAAAGCCTAAGTTACAACATCAAAAAATACCCTTTAAAAAAGGGGGCTTTGGTACTTGCATCTAAAATCAAATAAACTTAATAAAATATTTTATGGAAGACCAGATGGGTCTAGATTAATGCAGTTTTACATACTTCATGCACAAAGGACAGACTACATTTAATTTTTTTTTTATAAATGTCTTATTTTTATGAGAACCAAATTGGTGTAGAAAAGTTCAAAGCATTTCTTTCTTGAAGCACAGAAAACTTATCTACAAACAATGAACACAAATTTGCATTCTTTTAAAGGCATAGAAGCAGAATATACATTATTATTTATAATATTTACAAATGTAAATTAAAAGGCTCAAAGTTGTCAAACTGAATTATTCAGATATCAGGTACGTAGCCCTAACATCATCATGAATTAATTAAACTTCATCTCTGTATCTGGGTTTTAAGGATTTGTTAAATAAGTTTGTAACAAGAATCTTTTCATTATTACTGAAGGTTTGCACAAATAAAGAACTGATATATATATATTATTTATAGCTATTTCTTACATTTCAAAAAAACTATTTAAAAAAAAAAAAAAAAAAATATTAATGTTGATAATTTTTTTACCATACTATGACCTATTTATGCCTAGTTAATATGAATTTAAGGATTTTTTAAATAAGTTTGTAACAAGAATCTTTTAATTATTACTGAAGGTTTGCACAAAAAAAGAACTGATATATATATATTATTTATAGCTATTTCTTACATTTCAAATAAACTATTTAAAAAAAAAAAAAAAAAAATATTAATGTTGATAATTTTTTTACCATACTATGACCTATTTATGCCTAGTTAATATGATACATTTTCCAACCCCAAATTCTATACTAGACAACAACAGGATTTCAATTGGGATCATATTACAAAATGTAAGTGATGAGTTCTCTCATACAGCTTACAGTATATTAGAGTTACTTTATCAATTTCAAATGAGGGATAAGAACATAGACACTCCAAAGAAAGGATGTTGGGGTTTGGTTTTTAAATTATCACATTTTTAAAATTGCATGACATATTAAAAGCAAAATAAAATTCACCATTTAAATTCTATAAATAGGCCTGGAAATAAATAGACTAGCCAGTTTAAATGTGCATATTTTTTTTTTTTTAAATGAAAACATTTTTACATCCGATTATTTTTTGCACTTCAAACAGACAGTAAAAAAAAAAATCTTTCTCAAGATGGTAAATGAAAGTTAAAGCCCTACAATACATCAGATGGATGCTAGGTTAGTAGATCAATGTTGTAAGATTTACCACTACTTGGATAGTTCCACATCTATTATTCTATAAAAGTAAGTACTGGGCCAACAATGCAAACATAACCATTTTTAAATGAAAACAGATCAATGTATCACCAGTGATGTCATATCTTAAAATGTTTATACATTGTCCTGGATTATTACTGTCAAACTAATAATAGCGTTGAGAACTTAAAATGAGATGTAGATGAGCACGTTCTGAGGACCCAAATTTAAACTTTCTGGACAGTCGGGTAAAATTAATTATTGTTCAATAACTAATGTATTTAATTTACTTTGTTTTGCATCTAGATTTAAAACATTCTTTTGGCCTATATGGATCTCACAGAGAAATTTTGACATTTTCAGGGGCTTTCCATTAAAAAAAATTAAGGACACCCATGGTGACAGGCCTGATAGTTTTAAATAAATATATCACACACATAAAGCACTAATCGACAGATGCATCCACAAAAATTAGGCTTTACATAGAAATAACCAGACGGGAAAAAAAAACTGCTTTCTTAAAAGGACATATGTCAATACCATGCATATGTGACAAGTGCAAGCTAGCAAAGCAATGTTATAGAATCACAGGGGAATCCAACAAAAAAATCTGAACCTGCAGAAATGTAGGGCAACATAAAGGGCAAAGTCTAGCCAGATGGCAAGCATTTCAGGAAACATTTTCTTTATAATTGGGCAAATAATAACAGAAAAAAAAGGTTTTTATCTAAAAATTAAGTTTTTAAAATAAATAAATAGAGGGGGGTATTTTCTATATTATATCAACAGATTTTGATATAAAATTTGGAGTGTTTATCTACAAATGAAGAGTATTTATCTGAAGAGATTTTATCTTTAAATGAAAGAGATTGTATCCATAAATGTAGAGGTTTTATCAATAAATGAAAGAGATTTTATCTCGGAATGAAGTGGTGCAAGTACATGTGAGCAGGTTTTATCTATAAAAGAGGAAGTTTTTATTTAAATTTTCAAATGCTCTTTTTCTTATCTGTGTGACGGCTTTTGGGCAACTGTTGAAAATATGAATTGCGAAGAGAGCAAACTAGTCCACCTAGACAACCACCCAAACCCCGAAGGAAGCTTTGCTAATAGCCAAGTAATCACCAATCACTGGAACTCCTGGGCAAGAAGGAGTGAGTTACAAATCGCCAGACCATGAGGTCTTTAAAAGCTCATTGCTCCAATCACCAATCCCTGGAACTCCTGGGCAAGAAGGAGTGAGTTGCAAATCGGCAGACCATGAGGTCTTTAAAAGCTCATTGCTCAGATAGGATCCTGCATTATGTACAATTTATCTAAAAAAAGTGTTAATAAGATTATTACCTAAAACCACTTCTACAGCAATGTGCTCTGTGTATGAAAGGGGCTACAATCATACAAGTCCGCCATAGATTAAGAATTCAGCAACTACCCAAAATAAATGATTACATTAATCTGATTGATAAAAATCAATGTTTGTAAAATTGTGTTGTGATTCCAAAGTCAAACAATTAAAGACAGTAGTCAGTCAATAGACAGAGTGACTCAGATTTTTAAAAGTTATATTAAAAGCCTTCTCATCAGAGAACAAAATTATAATAACAATGAGAATTCTAAGGATATTAATTTCATTTTTTAGACTTAATTAACTTTTGACTTTAATAGTATTATTCAAATGTTAATGTTACCCAATAACGTTTGTCCACTGTTTGTATAAAAGTCCTATAAAAGAAATATTTAATGAGAACAAATGTATGTAAAAGTAAATTTTATATCTATTTCCCTTTGATCAACAACAAACATTTCACAGCAGATCAAGAAAACTCTGGAAAATGATTTATGACTTAGATGATGTAAATGTGGCAAAGAATGATTACATCTGGCAAGCCTAGGATGAGTGATCTCCATGGAGATGGAGAAATATTTATTCAATGTTGATGGATCCAACTTATCTATGAGACATCGAACCAATTTAAAACAATACATCATGCTACTAAATGCTTGAATATAATTTCACTTGAGCATCTGTTATGTTGTTTTATTAACCTTCAAATGTTTTATATACATTATACAACCAACACTTGTTACAAAGAAATCTATCAGAATATTGAATCATTGTTAGCTGTGCTTACAAAAATATACTATTTTGGTAAAAACAAGACACATTGAAAAGCTAGAATGGATCAAAACGTGTACAACTCCAGTTCGTAGGTTCCACAGTTTGAATCGTTTACCCTCCTGACTCACAAAGATGATACTTTGTTTGATTGAGCAGGGGAAGGGAGAGTGTTCAGTGTGTGTTGGACTCATTTACTTAGAATAATAAATAAATGGGGGGAGGAGAGATGGGTACCTATTTAACAATGAGACAGAAATCAACTAAGGGTTTACCATGTGAACTAAAGCAACTATTTTGCATATGGGTTCAAAAAATTAAATAACGTGTTTAAACAATTCTAATTGTACTGGACAAATTATTTTCTTTTAAGTGAGGACTGTCACTACCGTAGAATCTGAAAACAAATTGTAAAAAATAATTTACAATTACTGCACTCAACAAAGAGAATAGTGTGAAATTCATAATGTTCTCACATAATTTGCAGCAAGGGTCATTAAAAACAAAAATAAAATAAATACAATAAATGACTTAGCAACAAAAGAGCACTTCTGTATAGCCAGAAACATCCCACAGAAGTCACACTTGATAGTCCTAGCTGGTCCACTAGGGGTCAAGATAAAATTGCTTTTGCTTTATGACGTGCCCACATGTGACCGTCAAGAGATGCAATGCGTCTGCGGTTCTTCCTGTGCCACAGCCTTAGTTTGTCCTCACAGACACTAGACATTGCCTGGAGATTGGAGGCAAAACAGAGATGTTCAGTAAACATGACCTTTTAAATCATTCATAGTTCAACTCTACATGTTTACACTTGCACACAAAGACTTCAAAATACATTAAACCTCTTTTCCAGAGGCTAAATTTGAAATTCATGGTGATGCTTAAAGGTTACCATTTCTTTTTATTCAAGCACTAGAAGATATGACCCGATTTCATCAGGATAATAGAGAAAGACAATTGCGGTACTTTCTACCTGCAATTCCAAAGTCTCAACATCGAGCAATCAGATGTTTACGAACATAAATGAATTGGATTTTGATGTTATGTTAAAAAAAAAAGTATGAAAATAAGATTAAATATCATTGCATTAAAGCAGGTATATTTTATCAGATTTTTTTCGATTTTTGTAAAATAATACAAAAATCACCATCATTGTTTTAAAGAATCCAGTGTTACATGGTCACAATAGCTCATTCTTATAAATACATATAGTTGACCAAGCCAAAATTAATCTATTTGAAGATCAATCAAACTCACCTCGAGCTTTAGAGCCCTCTCTTTGTCCAAAGGTTCAGGGGGGTAAACGATTTCATGCGCATCAGCTAGGGCGCGTAAATCAAAATAATACTTGGCATAGACGCTAGATGGCACATTGATGTTAAACTGAAGCAGCTCAAGAACCTGGCGCTCAAGTTCGTTCCTGTGGATAATAAAAATTTACTTACCATAAAATACAACATCTCTTACATAATTACAGAGTAATAATCTTAAATGAAAATTGCATAAGCCTGAGTAGCATAAGTAGAATCATACATAACTGGCTTAAATCACTCACATATCATCCACTTGAATATCTTTCAAAATCTGGCAGAAATCCACATTCCATACTGCTTGATCATCCCAAACTTTAGATGCCAAGATTATGGCACCCAAGACCATCCTCTTCCAGTTGCTGGGGTTGATGTCAATCTCTGAGTAGGTCAACAGTCTTTCCAGATATACCTGAAGAATGCATCAGTGTCGCACTCATTATTTAAAAAAAATCTCAACCTGAGTTTGGAGTTGGAGCATTTATGAGAATTAAAGAAATATAATTATTTCCCTTGGGTGAACTTGCATTTTGTGTTGACTTTTACACAAATTTCTAATAAAACTTTAATTTTGTACTTAAGACTGTTAATGAGCATTTCCAACACCAGAAATGGTGGGTCCAGCTTTTTCAAAAATAATCAGTTTATTTTAATAACTAGACAACATAATTCAGACTACTTACTAAAGTCACAATAGCACATTCTGCAGTGAGTTGAGCAGCATTAAACAAGTTACGAACAAATCTATATATAGTTTTATGTTCAGGATCTCTCCTTTGATAGTCTTCTGGCACTGGTTCTTTCTGTCAGATGAATCAATATTTATGAATACTGTCTATGGACAATAATTTTGTTACCATTAAGTGTATCTTAGTATCAGATGGTAATTCAACAAAAAAAAAAAAAAAAAAATTCACAAAAAGAAAGACATTAAACAAATTGGTACCCAGCATTTCATTTACTTCTGTATGTCATTTAAAAAAAACAACTAGTTGACTAATAAAATGCACTTGAAGTTTTATTAAGTAAATGCATGAATCTAAGAACTAATAATGATTAAAAAAATAGAGAATCTGCCAATCATTAGAGCACATTACTTAAATTCAATTGCCCCAATTTACATGGGAAATGGTTGACACATTTATTCAAATATATGGTAAATAAATTGTGTTAATATCTCTACACATTTGTCAGTAAGTACCATTGAACTTACTGACAGAGGGTGAGCTTTTTCATCAAATATCTGCAATATATTGGGTTCTAAAGCTGCTAGGCTCTGTTCTTTTTCCTCATCAGGAGGCACACGATTCCGGATGTGGAAGAAAATTGCAAGGGCAACAGATTTGATGGTTGTCTTCAAGTTGGGTTGTGAGACAGTTGAGTCATCCATGTAGATAGTGGAGCAGGAACTAAATTTACGAAGTTGGCCATACTCATCAATCTGATGATATATTCAAATTATGGGCGGTTATAGGAGAGCGTGCTTAAGTAAGGTGGCCTTAGTTATTTAGGAAAAATTTTAAATGTAAATTTATTTAATAAAGATGACTCATTACAGAATGCAAAAAATGTATAAGTCAGGATAATTTAAGGATCAACCACAAATGTTATGGTAGTCCATAAATATAAAATTTTCCTTGTATTCCCTTCTCTTAAATATAGTTTATGACAGTTCAAAAGTGTTAACATTCATTTGATTTCAGCTTTACGTAAAGAGATGAACTAAGTTAATGATATTATAATGCCAATAAAGTATTCCTGCATTTTATACTGAATACATAATGTTATGGTACAATTCAGTGGTTTAAAATTAACCACTATTTTAGTAATTTCCAAAACTGGGCTTACTAAATATATTTCATTTTTCCTGATAGCGTTGTGTAAGGTTTAACATTTCTTTATCTTGAGAATAAATGCAAAGTTACTTACATGATGTTTATGACCAGAGTGTGTCAGAATCATCTGACTTCTCCTCCTCATACGATTATCTGCAGAATAAATCAAGACAATATTTTTTTAGATCAGGGAGAAAAGCTGAAAATAAAAGATTAAAAGTCTCAAATCACTTTAAATTAACCAGTATATTTACATAAGTGTTTAGAACGTACATGTGTACAGCCTTGGTGAATTAATAACAGTCAAGATATTTAATTAATAAATTTGACTGTCTTAAATGTTTTTTTTATTCTTTCAACAACAAAGAGTTTTAAAAATTAAACTATACAATGTATTACAAAAAATGTAAAACAATATTACTTCTCAAAATCTCAGACTCAGATCTGGTAGAAAAAATAGGCTTTGCCCCAGGATGACTGGAAGGATCATGATCACTTTCTGTTAAATATATATCCAAAATGCTAATAGCAATATAGAAATAAGAACTTTTTAGTTGCTAAGACTAAACATTAATTCATTAATTAATCTGTATGGGTTTCACAAACTGAGAATGGCTATTGGAATAATGGATTTTGTTTTATAACTCATGTCAGCTTATTAAATTCTTATTATTAAAGTCATAATTTCTAGTCATGTAATTATTTTGTGTCATTTTTTCCCTTAAAAATAACAAAAATTCACAGAACAAAAAAAAGAGTAAAAAATAATTTCAGTAGTACAGATAAGATGAAAACACTGATCAATCATACTTAATGCTTATTATTAAATATTATTTCTTATTATTATCCAATCAATTTGCAAACACATCTTATAAACCACAGAAGGGGATCCAGCTGTTTCAAAAGTAACTAGCTTACTTCCTTTATAAGACAACATAGTTAAGACTACTTACTAAAGGGTGACTACCAAAAAGAAAATACATTAGACCAAAGGTGAATAGTGGCCATCATTTAGAATTCTGATCACTTTACCTTCAGGCTCTCGCTCACTTATGTGGGGTACACCCCCTGAGGCAGGTATAGTGGTTTGAGGTTGAGATACATAATTTGGTCCTTCTTCCTCCACTGGTGAACCTTGCTGTTGATATATGTAGGCTGCATCTCCTTTCTTAGGACGATTTTTTGGGCTATGGTAAACACAGCAAGAGTTCTTATTCCCCATGACAAGCAATTTGACCTAAGAATTTCTTAGAGCACTGAACATAAATTCCTGACTGATGACATTAGATAGATAGCTGCTGGCACTGCAATAACTGAGACCTGGCTAAATGCAAGTATTCCAATTTATATTACACCACAGTATCCATTTTGAACACCTTTTAACTTTAGTATGTTTCCATAAGTTTTGTGATGAACAAAAAGTATTATTCAGTTGTTATGTCATGGTTGACAATATTCACTGAAATATCAAACAAAATAGAATAATTTATCAAATTAATTAATGATTATTTGTCATGTTTCATTAGTTTTAATTCCACAAATTTACCAGTAAAGTAATACATCAAAAATGTTTCTAACAAGATGATAAAGAACTTTTTAAAAAAAACATGATGTTATAACCCTACAAGTGCCTATTGTAAAAGATAAATATTTTGATGGTGGCATAGGCATATATAATATAAAGCTTTTTGAGGAATCGGGCACCTGAATTTAGGCTTTGCCATTGGTGCAGCTTTCTTTTACCACAGCCTTGTTAGGAATTAAATAAAAAGTAGGCCTAGACCATAATGTCATGTTACTGTTTGACAAGTCTTACACATACTACTACTTGAACATAGAGACAATATCCAATAGTATATTTTGTTGGGCAACCTTAAACTAAAAAAAAAAAATTATAAAAGGTAAGTATATATCATATAGGCCTGTATTTATAAGGAGGGCCAATTGCTAAAAACACTTAAGTATAGCATACTAATACTATTATATATCTTTTTCATATTTTTGCATTGGATATTTAAGTTGCTTTTAAACTATTCCAATAACATTGGCTATCTATTAAAACTAGCATTTGCACCAATTTGGCCTACTAGGCCTAATACTAATTATGTTAAAAAGCTAAGTATCTATGCTAACGCTAAGAATCTATGTCTATGTTATACTTGTAATAATAGTATCTATAATCTATACTATAGTTTAAGAAAGGCCTAATAGTTAAGGGAATAGTTAATTTAATTTTAATAGGTAGGCATTTCATTTGAATCAGTTTGAGCTCTTGGTTGCATTTTTAAAAAAGTTTATTATTATTTAAAAAAGATGCAGCCTGGAGAAGCACTTGAGAAGTACTACTCTATAGCACCTAAAATCAAGGCAACTAGGCATATCATCAATCATCATCAGTCATCATCATCATATGAATATGTGAATGTGCAGAATCTAATCTTGAAATTTACATGACCATGGCATGACTTCTTCACTTCTTGTCTCCTCCTTCTCCACTCATTTTATAAGCCTAGGAATGCATGCCACGCATTCTACGCGATGCCCATTGTTATATTCAAATAGCTTGTATTCAGCCTATTGAAGTAAACAGTGCGCCGATAAGACCTGATTCTCAGGGTAGACTTCTTCAGTTTTTCTGTCAGTACTATTGCTACGTTTGTGTAAGTTACTAACTGCTCTCCAAGCATTCAAATGGCAAAGATCAACTTGAAGGTCAATTTAAAAAATCATAGATTATTATCTTAAACGCTTAATTAGCGTGTGTATACTAACTTCTTTTAAAAACTAATGCAAGTTATTTATCACCGGACGCAAGCGGAAATTCGCGTCTTCCATATTAGTGGGGAAAACAAAAGAGTTAGAAATGGACTTCCGGAAAAAATTTTTATTGCCAATTTACATTTTAAGGCCATATTATAATATGTTTCTTTTAAATCATAGAACGGGAGCGGATATCGCGGAAAGGGGAGGGGGGGTCGTTGAAGTCCCGCTAACGAAAGTAGGTCTTGGAAAATGCAGGAATGTATTTTGGTACATACATGCTTTAAGTTTTCATCCCTCTTAATCAAATAGATGCTAAAGAAAATTCAGATGTCTCTTTATTTTAGGTTGTTACTTGATAGTAACGTTTTATGTTTAAATGTATTTTTTATTTAAACTAAATCTTTCTTTAAACTACTTAATTATAAAAAACGTTTCCTTTCACCTTGACATCATCAGAAGACAACAACCTGTCAATCGTCACTTGCCTTCTTTGATGACTACTGCACTAGCTTTTGTCGGCTTGTTTTGTTTTTTCCTGTTATTGTTGTTTTTTTTTTTTTTTTTTTTTTTTTTTTTTTTTTTTTTTTTTTTTTTTTTTTTGGGATAATTTTGTGGGGGAAAATTTTTTAGGTTTTTATTTTTTTTTTTTTTTTTTTTTTTTTTTTTTTTTTTTTTTTTTTTTTTTTTTTTTTTTTTTTTTTTTTTTTGTTAATGCTATTGCAGGCAATAAATTGGTGGCGAAAACTATTAAGGTCTTTTATCAATATATTTCTTGTTCCTCATCCTCATATCCTTTAGTCATTGGACCGTTGGGGCGCCACAGATGACATGTGAACCATCCTCCGCCATTCCTCTCTGTCTTCAGCACTATGCACTGCATCGCCCAGTGTTAGTCCTGTCAACTCTTTAATGTTATCCTCCCATCTTTTTCTTTGTCTTCCTCTTCTTCTCCCTCCTCTTGGGGTGCCCTGAAATATTTCTTAGGCAAGCCCTTGTTTCCTTGTTACGTAGCCGTACCATTGTAGTTTGCGTTTTTTTCACAGTCACTAATAGGTCATCGTGCTCACCAATTGCCTGACGAACCCTTTCTTTCACTGCATCATTGTTTCTCCATTATTTGTCATGTCTTCTGGGGAATTATATTAGCAGAAACTTCCACATACTGACATACCTTGTTCTACTATATCTATGTTCTTCTAGTTGTGTCTTGTGAAGAATACCTATGATCTTTACATTGTTGTTTTTTATTAGTTTTAAACAGTTATATATTACATTTATAATTTTCGAAAATAATTAAGTCCTTTTGTTATAAAGAGCGTCCAAGCATACTATAATTTTTTAAGACCTCAATATTATTAATATGTTCCTTGGGTTTTACGGTTTAAACTGGCAACTTGCATTTTGGGACTCGTTTAGGATTGTTTTTTGTTTTCAACATGGTGGATATGCATTTCCGTTCAAGGCTGCTGATAGTATTATCAAAGGATTGATTTTATTAAGTATTTAATTTTCAAAGTAAGTACAAAATTGAATATCAGATTAAAATTAAAGACACAGTACTCGTTTGAGAATCAGTGTCATGCTGTTTTCTGTTTTTTGTTTTTTAAAAATATATTTGTTTTATTTGTTGGCTGTTTTACTTTTCACTCAATTTCGCGGAAAAAAACACAGCACCGATGTTTTAAATCAATCGATGATTTCAATGCATAACCACTGCAGTCTGACGTTTGATCATGTCTCGTATCTTGGTTTGTTTTTTTACAATGAGTGATAAATTATTTATATTTGCTAGACCTATTGACGTTTTTCTTTTGTTCATTTTAGTTTTTTAAATTAATTAATATAAATTATAACGACACATGTTCGAATAGTTCGATAATCCAGTAATCTTATCACATCATTCTAATTCATCATGATCATTGTCATCATTTATTTGATTTATTGACAGACACTTCAGACAGTCCCGTAGTTCTTATAGTTATAGTATATAAATATAATATAATAATTAATAATTATATTATTTAAGGTCCTACCAATATATATTATTATTATGAGTAATATAAATATATTTGTATAAGACTTAAACTTACGATTCTCGGCCTTTATTTAAAAAAAAAAAAATCAAGCTTCAACTTCAACAATCAATGGAATTTTTATAATTTTAATCATCAATTCAGTTTCTGTCATATTTTATCATAATCATACATTTTACTAATTTTATTAGATTTATTTCGATGTTCAAAGCTTACTAATGTAATAAAACTATCTTATTGAAAGTAATCTTGAGCCCCTTTCATCATACTGGTGCAAAAAAATAATCCACCATTTTTTTTTTCCGGTGCTGGTGGGGTCATGACAATTGGAAGGAAATTTCATTCAACCGGAAAAGCATAAATTGGCTATTTCAAAGTTATTCCCCACCCTATTTGAATGCTTAACTGCTTTATAAAGGTTTTAATGTAATTTTATTGCTAAAAGGGAGTATTTAATACATATTTATAGCTTATCGTATGTTCAAAGTGACACAACAAAATAACAGAGAAAAATCAAGTTGCTCTAAAGACATGTGCGTCACCGGAAGACAAATATTTAACGTAATCGATGACAAAGCAAATGTATAATTAGGAAACTGTGACGTAAAACGCATAAATCCGAGGTCACCGTAGAAGCGATTGTAAGATGGCCACTTCAATTTTTGCGTTTTTTTTCCTTATGCGCTTTTTTTCCTTATGCGCAGAATGAATGCGCAAGGGAGTATCGGTATACCTAGTCTTAATAGAATGAAATCATGAATGATAGACTTAGTTAGACTTAGACTTAAGTGAACTTGAGTGACTTAACATACTTACGTTATTTGAGATAGCCTAGGCCTAGTTATCATACAGTATAATAGTCATAGTAGTAGTAGTTCATTAGTGACATTAGTAGACATTATTTTTAGTATGAAAGTAGTCAGTTAAAGTCAGTGCATTGCATATAAGTGTATAGCCTAATAATTGTATATAATAATATAAGGATAAGGCTTAAAAATTAATTTTTAAAAAGTGTACTAACTTTGTAACCCCTATAATAATACCCTAATGTCAATGTAGGTAGTCACTATGAAAATTATTGTCTATATTATTATACTGCCAATATTGAATATTGCGAAATAAAATACTACTGTCATTTTTAAGCCTGAAAGCAAAGACTTACTACCTACTTACAACTTTGGCTTTGGCTCACTTGTTTACACAATTAAAATTTAAACTGATTGTTGACAGCCATTGTTGTTTTAGATATGGAAGTAGCTTGTAAAAAAAATTTCGATTAGACTATTGATTCATTATTCAATTAAGTGTAGACCTATTATACCAACTCGCTCAGTTTGAAAATGAAGAGAGCTAAATTAACATGGTCAGTAAGGCGAATACTTTTATAATTAATATAATATCACAAAATAAAAATAAAGTTTTATGTCAACAAGTTAATATAAGCCTACTAATCCATTTTAAAATATTTTAAATACAAATCATCATCTTCCGCCACCTTGTTTCCATATTAAAATTGCATGGTGTATGTGTGTGGACGTGGAATAAATATTAGTCTTCAGTTACAGACATTCACATTTTTTAAAAATCAAGGGCATAGAACAGACATAGAATCATGCACAGTAACCTTGACCCCATTATTTCTATTATTATATAGAAACACACCATTTGCCAGTTGAGCATATTTATGGCCAAATTCATTTAATTTAATTTTGAGTCACCCATTTAAGGCACATTTTGTGGCATAAAAATAGCCTTAGTATTGTTTGCTTTTGCCATCTTTTAAATTTTAATTTGTCATCAAGCATCAGTTTCCCTTGCTCCCCTAGGAGTGCACCGCAGGATTTTTCTAATACATTATCATTGCTGATGCAAGTATTGCATTGTTTAGATTTTGTAAAAACTTAAAATTTGGAATTGAATTACGAGAAATTTTGATAAATTTCTAATTAAGAAAAGAAAAGCTTCTGAAATAACATTTGTGATCAATCAAATTAGTAGCAATAAAGGAAACTAAGCCAGTATTAACGGTTGAACATTTTGTTCTAGTCGGGAATAAGTGTAACAGAGAAGTTTCCTAGCCTCGTTTATACAGTGAAATTATGTGCAACTGATGTTCACATATTCTGGTTGTGTAAACAATCTTTTTTACTGGTGAAAGTTTGCAGAGATGTAGTTGCAAATGATAGTATGGTCCTGAACAAATTGAGTTGTCATTTTAACTCAAAACACAGTGAAAGTTTATTTTCACAAATACTTGCAGAATACTTGAATGAGATTGAGCTTTCAAAATAAAATAAAAAGAACCAGTCTGCATTTAGCGAAATTCTAAGAAAAACTCTGAAGTCAAGTAACTTGGTTGCTCAAAATAAGAATTGCTAAAAATAAGGATCCACACACTTTTGCTGACTCCTCTTTAATGGTTAGAATGACTAAAAAGCATGTTATCAAGATGAAATGTTTTGGAAGTACTGTAACAGAGTTTTAAACAATGTGAAATATTTTATCACCTATTTGTTTAAAGAAAAGTCTTTTTTTATTAAATACATGAAGGCTATTTATTTATTAAAGTCTATAATATCAAAGAATTTTAATTTGAGGGATCCTCTAGTTCACGTCAAAATCATCTTATAATGTGTTGCCTTCATGGCACAGATGATTGACATTGAAAGATTGGGTATGTTGAATGATGTATCAATTATTCAAAATAATCTTTGATTAATACTTATAGTTAAAATGAATTTAAATAAATAATAACGTTCATAATGATAGTAATTGGAATGAAGGTTGAATATAAAAAATCTTCTTTTAGATCGCAGGCTATGAATGTGTTGCTAAATTTTGAAATAAATTTTTTTTAAATTAAAAAATACTGTTTTAGTATCAAATCTGAATATTCTTTATGGTAACTGATTTTTAAATAAAAATAAGTGCTCAGTGTACATGATGCTCTAGAGTTTGCTTCTCCTAGAAATTAATTATTATTGATTATGAGATTTAACGATTCTCAAAAATAAAGGAAACATGTTTGTACTAATGAAGGCATGTACAGGCAAACTCTCATGAGCTGTAGATTTCCAACCATATCAAAAAGTCCAGTTTTTGTCTGTGAATATTTACTGGAAATTTGACCAAAAAAAATTTTTTAAATATTATTTTCAGGCGCAAGTCTTTCAAGATGTGAATGCAATAATCTTCATTTGCAACAGAACCTGAAAAATAAACATCTACTTGAATGCATTTGGTTGTAATTTGCATTTAAGGCTCTCGAAAAGATCACTATTGTACAATGCAGTGGACTAACAAAGTTAAATACCAAGGACAAGTTAAGACCGCAGGCATTGGCAAGCAGATGTCATGGAAGACTGGCTTTGTTGACTTTGATTATGATGAAATAAGAGACAAATGGATGGTGAAATTGACTTTCAATGTCAATCCAAACCGGGTTTTCCATCAGCTGCAAGTAATTGAGATTTACACTTGATTGTAAATGAAAATCTTAGCTGCCAGACTTAAAATCTATAATTGCTTCTCTTAAGAACATTAAATAAATATTTTATAGACTAATTTTTCTTTACTTTTTTTATTTATGACTTCAAACTATGTAGGTACTCTCTTAACATATTGAATCTACTTTGATTAATTCATGTTGTTTTAATTTTTTGAAGTTATTATCTAAAATGTTTTTTTTTTTTTAACTAGTGAATTAAAATTTTATTTTGTTTATTGACTGATTTTGTCACATTTCGTGTTGAAATAAAATCTACAATTTAGTTAAAAATGTAAAATGCTAAAAATTCACCTGTCTCTTAATTTCATATTCACAAGATATTTGGTCCACAGTTTTACAAGATTTTCTGTCATTTTTTAAAAAATCTGACTGTGGAAATAAAACTTTGCTATCACACTTTTTCAATGAATATATTGCCAAGTTTAACACCATCTTGCCATTTTTTAGATAGGTCATTCTGATAGCTTAGCTGTAAAATGTGGGCGCCTTATGATAGAGAACAAAAAAGGGGATGGCATCCACATCAAGCTGTCCAGTGATGACATTGATCATGCCAGGCAGCTCATAGCAAAGATACAAAGGCCAGGTTAGAAAAAACAAAATAGGATTTTTTAATTTTTTTTATAAATTTTTTTTTTTTGCAGTATTATCTCATAAAGCTTCATTAAAAAATTTGCTATTTGCAAACACAAATATGTTCCAAGTTATTATGAAACTAAAAGACTTGTATTAAAACTGCACTAAAAACATATCTTTTTAAATTATACTACCCTGACTGATTCCCCTCCTCTGACCGATAAATGATCTTGCTGGCTGCCGTCCATGGTTTGTCTTGTAAAAGTTATTTGGTGGGGTGGGTGAATATACATTGCTGTTCTTTTTTTTCATAAATGTATTTTATTTTAATGTCATAATTATGTCTCTTTTGATAAAATTTTTATGTACAGCGCGGTGAGCCAAGCCCTAGGCTGGGGTGCCGCGCTATATAAGACGTCTTAGTATTATTATTCTTATTATTAACCCAATGAGTTTTTTAAAACTAAATCTTTCTATTGACATTCGGGGCATCACCTTAAGTTTTATTGACTCCGCTTCTGTGTTCCCTTCTAGCTATCAAGGCGGCGGGTCAACACAACAGAGCACAGGTTGGCATTACATCGACACCTTCTTCGAAGATCTCTGAGAACATAAACCCACACCTAAATGGAAGCCTCTCTAGTGACTCCTCTCCGCAGTTGTCCAGCAATGATGTGTGAGTACTAGTGATGGATTAACTTTTAAGGTTGACACAACCAGTTTGTTATGGCTCTCAAGGTGTGTACTAAAACACTGATAAAAATAGATGTATTGTACCATACACAACATTAATAACTTTAGAGAATTCAATTTCGTTCACTGTATTTAAAAATTTGATCACACACATCTAAAACTATTGTTGCCGTAATATGCATCTATTAAAATGCTCTTCTGAAAATGTGTATGGTTCCTTGTAACACAGATTTGTTTGTGGCAGCCCTTTGACTTTAAAGTCATCCGGCTGGCCACCTCTGCGTGTTAGGTGAAATGGTTGGCCAACTCTGCTTGTAAGTCATATAGCTGGCCACATCAGGTCATCTGGCTGGCCACCTCTTTCTTATCAGGTGATTTTTTGGTCACCTCTGCTTAATAAGGTCATATAGCTGGCCACTTCAGGTCATCTAGCTGGCCGCCTCTTTCTCATCAGGTGATTTTTTGGTCACCTCTGCTTAATAAGGTCATATAGCTGGCCACATCAGGTCATCTGACTGGCCATCTCTGCTTATCAGTGATATAGTTGGCCATCTCAGTTTAATAATATCATGTAGCTGGCCACTTCAGGTCATCTGGCTGGCCACCTCTGATTTCTAAGGTCATCTGGTCACTTTGTAAACCACAAAATGAAATCCAAGAATACATTCACATTAATATTCATTAACACCATTTTGGACACCTGGTGTACCCTGTCTGCATAGTTTACACTTAGCTGTAATTATTATTTTAGAAAAAAATGTTCTGTAGCCATGTGTTTTTTTTTTCAAAGTTAACTGTTTGTATTGTCATCTCTGCATTCTATTTTACAGATCCCCCATAGAGCTTGAGAACTGGCTCCCCAAGAAAACACCATCTTCAGGGGCACAGAAGCATCCAACGCCTGTGTCCCAGAGGCAAACAGAGGCGACACGCTCCAATACAAACCCTACCCCGTCCAAGCCCCCACCATCAACGCTTTCTGTTTCTTCTAAGCGGCGGTTAGAATACTCTGGAGCTCAAAACAATTCTGGCTCAAAGCAAAACAACATGAAAAATGTTTATGATGATGCAGATGACTTGTTGGATGAGATTGACCTCACCCCAAAAAGATTTACAGCGTAAGGAAAGAAAAGCTGATTTTGTTTGATGCTTAAAATGTTTTGTGTGAAAACGGTACACTATAGGTGTAGGTATAAAAAGTTCAAACTGTTTTATAACAATATTTTGTTCGCTGTGGTCGTGAATCATTAAGACATAAACAGTGCAAGCTTCGTGACAGTCTAGTGCCACCCAAGAATGCTGTAATCAACCTTTCAGATTAATGTCAATATATCATTGTGTTTTATTTGAGAAGGTCATAGAGTAGAGTACAGAAATCCCTAACCCTTACTTTTAAAAAAATGAAGAGGGGGGGGGAATAAACAGCAAAATAAAACAAATTAAAGAAAACTAAATTTATACAACATGAGAATGAATAAAATATATGTGTGGACCATTCTTAAATGTAATTATAAATGACCTGGTTCTTGTGTTCAAATACCTTTTTTTAAAGTAGTGTTTAAACAAAGGTATTTATATTATTGTGCTGAGAAGAAAGTTTACCTTATACATTTTACTGACTTGTACCCGGTATCACTTAAAATACTGGAGAGCTTATAACTAAATTTGCTGTGTTAAATTCTGTATTAATGAGTTGAATGTGCTGCTTAATGTACAATTTATTTACTTTCAAAATAATTCCATTAGATTTATTTAACCTCTGTAACAATAAAGCATATCAAATCTTTCATTGACATAAAAAAATTATATTTTTGTTTTCAGAATGAAAGCACATCCTAAAAGGTAAATATAATTATTATTCATCCATTCACTCATTTTTTTTTTTAAATTTCTGACTTTCCCAACCCTTTTGGCTAAATATTTTTGCTTCATCTTATTAATCTTTCTTAATTACTCAAAAGCTTCACATTTCTATTTGAAAAATGTATTTCCATTACTCTCATTAGCAGAGCACAGCAAGGCCCCAACACATTGACGCCAGGTTTAGGAACTAGAAGGTTCTATGGAAGTCAGAGCACAGTCATGAAAGATAAATTTCCCAGGTATGATGTAAACATACATATGTAATGATGGTGTGTTACAAGGTTCCTTTGCATTATATGTTTTAATGTTCTGCTAGTGTGCTACAAAGCCATCAAGTTAGTTGAAGTAAGTGTTGGCATACATAACATTTAGCCACTGGTTTCTTTGTTTTGTTTAAGGAATGACCAAACCCCCCTAGTTAAAGCAGATTCTTTAAAAAAAAATTCATAGTTTAATGTCCACCTCCCAAGTTAAACCAAATCAAAATTTAGTACCTATTCCCCACCCTCCCTAGTTAAACCAAATCAAAATTGAGTACCTATTCCCCACCCTCCCTAGTTAAACCAAATCAAAATTTAGTACCTATTCCCCACCCTCCCTAGTTAAACCAAATCAAAACTTAGTACCTATTCCCCACCCTCCCTAGTTAAACCAAATCAAAATTTAGTACCTATTCCCCACCCTCCCTAGTTAAACCAAATCAAAACTTAGTACCTATTCCCCACCCTCCCTAGTTAAACCAAATCAAAACTTAGTACCTATTCCCCACCCTCCCTAGTTAAACCAAATCAAAATTTAGTACCCCAACCTCCCTAGTTAAACCAAATCAAAATTTAGTACCTATTCCCCACTCTCCCTAGTTAAACCAAATCAAAATTTAGTACCTATTCCCCACCCTCCCTAGTTAAACCAGGTATGTATACTGATTGTTATCAATATTGCTTTGATGTTTATGGCAATGTGATTTTTTTTTTTTGGCCCTCTTTCATGATACATCCACCAGGAAACGCTCCATGTTTACTTACTAATGTTTTCTTTTCTTTCATTAAATGACCCATTTTATTACAAAATCTATTTGTTATGAGTAGAAGTCAGGCATCCATGTTGTTATTTTTATTTTTTTTACCAATCCTATATGATGATTATGTTTTAATGACTGAGTTCATTTCACTACCAGCATTAATTTTTTTTTACCCCTCCCCCCACCCACCCACACCAAACCCTCTCATCTCTCAACCCTTGTGTTTCATAATACCATGCATACTAAAAATATTACAAAGAAATAGTAGCAGAAAGAAGTTTTTAAGTTCTGCTTTGTCTTATTTGTAAAATGTTTGAAAGTACATGGCCCATTATTTCTACACATCAATGTGGAGGGGAACCAAAGGGAGATAACTCAGGAACCCACTGAGATCTTAGTTATTGTGCATGAGCTTCATTTATTGGATTTTAAATTTCAAAACTTCCTACAACACATCAATGTGGAGGTGAACAAAGTGGAGATAACTCAGGAGCCCACTGAGATCTCAGAAATTGTGCATGAGCTTCATTTATTGGATTTTAAATTTCAAAACTTCCTACAACAGCAGAGACTAATTTTTTTATTTTATTTTTTCACTCTTCTACTGCATCCTCACAATTTTAGCTCAATTTTTTTTTTTTCAACTGTGTTGCATCAGCTGTTGAAGTATTTTCTTAAAACAATATTGTCTTACATTAGAGACGGCAACAGTATTGCTCTTGCTGCGGACAGGAGTCCTCGGATCAAGAGAGCAAAGTTGACCTCCGATCTTGATTCTAACCAAGAGAACTACTTGTCCGGTAATTCCCCATCGTTGGGTGGCCATAACGTCAAGATGGCATCTTCTGGCTCGGCAGAGGATTACTCAAATGCCGAAGGGGATTCAGCTGCACAGATAACAGTTGGGTAAGTTGTGCTTTCCTGATGGAAGGGATCATAAAAATAACATTAAAAAATAATAGCATTTGTGTAAGTACATTGGGTCTTATTTCAAACCCTAACCAAACCTCATTTATTATTTCCAACTGTGTCACATATCTTTGATGAAATAAAGATGAAAGGGGGGGGGGAGGGTATATATAACCACTGGTTAGGTAAATAATGGCTTTCATTGTGAAAATAATCATAACCTTATTAATCTTTGGAATCAAGCATCCAAGATAATTTATTTGTGCAGTAGCTTTCTCCCAAAGCAATTTTTGTGTTGCTTTTTTTTTTTTTTCAACATGGTTGTCTGTCATTTGACTTCATTTGCCTTCATCTTGATGCCTGCTTCCAATGCTGGATGTACACCGTACATTGTCAGACAAAGAAACTAAGATGTCCATTCTTTTGAGTTGGTTTTTTTAACTTTTTTAACTACTGTTTCTCACTCAACACCCAGTTTTGACAATCTTGGCAATACCTGCTTCATGAATTCCCCTCTTCAATGCTTGTCATCGCTTGAACCCCTGTCCATAGACTTCCAGACAGCAGTGGCAGAGTTCGGTCCAGAGCTGAGACCCAATTCCATCACCAGGTAAGCATGTTGTCTTTTAAATGGATAGAGCTCTTCTCAAGTTATGATTCTAGATAATTCATGAAAGCCCATCTTGTTTCCTTTTTCAGATGTTTCAGATGTTTTGCCTCCACAGTTCTTATTTAGCTATTGCTCTCATGCAAAATTTTGTGTTTCAAAACTATTACATTGTTAAAATTGAGCATTTTTTTTGTTGATGTTGTTGAAATGTGCCAGTGATCTGCTGTGTACCAACTCATTTAGAACTTATAGTTTCAAGTATGTCCAAGTGTTTGTTAACTTTTTATATGGATATTTTTGTTATTTTTTAAACAACTGATGTAGTAGAATAGTCCAAATTTAATAGCTGAGGTAGTAGAATAGTCCAAATTTAATAGCTGAGGTAGTAGAATAGTCCAAATTTAATAGCTGAGGCAGTAGAATAGTCCAAATTTAATAGCTGAGGCAGTAGAATAGTCCAAATTTAATAGCAGATGTACTATAATTCCCCCCCCCCCCCCCCCAAATTATAAGTCAGTGGTTCTCAACCTTCCTAATGCCACGACCCTTTAATACAGTTCCTTATGTTGAGGCGACCCTCAAACACAAAAATATCTTCGTTTCTACTTCATAACTGTAGAGTATGGTGTTTTCCGATGGTCTTAGACAACCCCTGCAAAAGGGTCTTTGGACCCCCAAAGGGGTTGCGACCCATGGTTGAGAACCACTGTTTCAAGTGAATGGGTTGAATCTACAATATTTTTGTGTACACATTTCTTTTCTAGATTACTGTATCTCCTAATGAAAGATGTCCGCAAGCTGGATGTGTGCCCTGAGCGAGTCAGACAGATCCTGGTCAGATTAAGGCATGACATCAATGGAAAATTTGCCCTCAACACACAACAGGTTATTTTGACTTTTACCAATTGTCTAATTGGCAGAATTGTGCACTTAACTTTTCAATTAAATAAATCATTCGTTCATGTGAGGATTTCTTTTGTATTCTGGAAATGCGATAAACTTGACACACATCATTTGTCTATTGAGAACCAAGGCATGATTTCTGTTATTGGATATCAAGGATAAGGCTACTCACTTCATCTACATAAATTTGTTTAACAATATTCGCTTGAAAAAAATGTGTGAAATTTCTATGTAGGATGCACACGAGCTCTTGGCAGAGTTGCTAGACCGCACGGATGAGGAAGTGAAAGCAGTGATGGGAGCACGTCAAGCACATTCTGACATGGCCAGTGGATCTGCCGGTGGGGCTCCCTCCACCATATTGGCTGACTCTGGGGCTTCCAGTGGGACGCCCATTCAATCCAATTTTATGTGGTTTTATAAGACATCTTTTTATTTCCATGAGTAAGTGAATTGTTAGGTGTTGAATGTGTGAATAAGTGAATTGTTAGGTGTTGAATGTGTGAGTAAGTTAATTTTTAGGTATTTAATGTGAGAGTAAATGAATTGTTAGGTCTTGAATGTGTGAGTAAGTTGTTAGGTGTTGAATGTGAGAGTAAGTTAATTGTTAGGTCTTGAATGTGTGAGTAAGTTAATTGTTATGTGTTGAATGTGAGAGTAAGTTAATTGTTAGGTATTGAATGTGAGAGTAAGTTAATTGTTAGGTGTTGAATGTGAGAGTAAGTTAATTGTTAGGTCTTGAATGTGAGAGTAAGTTAATTGTTAGGTATTGAATGTGAGAGTAAGTTAATTGTTAGGTAAGCAGTTTGTACATTAATGCATTATATACACCAAATATCCTACGTATTAATATACACCAATTATCCAACATATCAATATACACCAATTATCCAACATATTAATATACACTAAATATTCACAAGTAGCCCCCAAGTGATGAAATATTTGCTTTTAACTGACCTTTTTCAGGTGTAAAACTGAAATAACGTCCAGCCAAGAAGAAAGGGACACAACTTTAATGCTGGCCCTCAATTCAGACAAGTATTAAATTTGTTTTGTTAATTCTCTTCTTTGTTTTCTTGTTTTTAGATGTTCTTTGGTCTTCTAGTGTTTGACTTAAAAAATCTAAATGTTTTATACTTTGTCACCTGTGATAAAAATTTATTTTATTTTTCACCATTAAAAGTTTTGTACTGTGTGTGTGTGTGTATATATATATATTTAAAAATAAAATTTATTATTAAACCTTGTCCTAATAATCATTATTGTGGAGCACTGTTTATATGAACAGTCAGAAATTTTAATTTATTTCACCCAAGCCCGCACTCTTCCCATCTCAGACACCCCTTTGCCACCCGAGGCACACCTCTCCCCCACATCAGTCACCTCCACCCTCCTCAGACACCCCTTGCACACCCAGGTCTTCCCCTCCCCACCTCACACCCCACACCCACCTGAGACTATCTCATCCTGCCTTAGACACCCTCACCAACATCAGCACCCCCACAACCCAAGCAACTCTTTTCTTAGTAATCTGTATATATATATATATATATTAAAAAAAAAGCTGTTTTATCTTACTCTGGCCTACTCAAAGTGATGCAGTGATAAAGATAATCTGGAAATTTTGTGCATGGACAGGACATCTCAACATTTATGTGTCTGGTATCTTTGACAACCTGGTGGAGCTATGCCATCTTTTCACTTCACTGAGGTCAAATAATTTCTATTTTACACATGCGCTTTCCAGTGGACATGTAGCAATTTCACCCATGTTTTTGGGGAGGGCTTTCATGCCGTAATCAATCCTTTGTAAAAAAAAAATAATTTAATTTGGTTGATACATCCCACCCGCTTCATCACACACCTCAGATCAGCTCAATCAGGGCGAATGCTTTATCTAAAAAGTTAGGGCTGAAAAATATAAAAAATTATTTTGTTTTACCAGTCTACAAATTTGCTTTCATGCTCTCCCAAGGGTTACTGAATCTAAATGACCACTAGTAAAGTCATTATTGTCACTTAAGGAGTTCTTTTATGGCTGATTTCTATGCACGATAAATACCTTTTGTCTTGTGTTTGAATCGTTATAATTGTAATATGTTGTCTAGGTTAAAAATATGTATTTATTTATGTGCTGAAAATGAATATGTACAATTTAATTTTTAAAAATGTTCCATTTATTTGGACCAATGAAGAATTTTATCTTATAAAGTGCAGGGGAGACAGTCCAGACCCATCACAGCAGCAAAGTTGCTGTGGATGTTATTTGCTTATTATTGAAGTTGGTTGACTTGTAACCTATCTATTTGTCCAGGGACTACAGCCTACAAGATTGTATTGACAGATACTTTGAGTCTTCCGAGGTTGAGATGAAATGTGACAAGTGTGGCAAAGATGAGAAAGCAACCATGACTAGAAAAATTGTCAAACGTCCCAGGTATGAAATTGACTTCATCACGTAATGATAGGCATTCTATAGAACTTTTCCATACAAATGTTCAATCATTCCATGCAAATGTTCAATCATTCCATGCAAATGTTCTATCTCAAAAGTTTCTGATAAATGTTCATTTGTATGAAATTTTTAATGTGTAATAGACTAAGTCAAAATAAATTTGTATATCCTTCCCCCCCCCCCCAGATTAATTTCAAAGCAACTGTATAGAGCTCACTTGCATTGGATGTAAATGAAACATAATTTATGGCAATATTACTAACACTGTTGGGGCCCCTTTTTTTTAAAGCAGGCTGTGAAAATTTGCTTTCATTAGAGGCCTTTTATCCTGAGTCATTCAATGCCCCAAGTCAGTCATCGCCCCAAGTCCAGTCAATGCTCCTAAGTCGGTCATTGCCCCCCAAGTCGGTCATTGCTCCAATGTCAGTCATTGCTCCAATGTCAGTCATTGCTCCAAGGTCAGTCATTGACCCCGAGTCAGTCATCGCCCTTAGCCGGTCATCGCCCCAAGGCGGTCTTTGCCCAAAGGGTTTCATTGTCCCAATTGGGTCATTGGCCTGAAGCCAGATTTCAAGCCCCAAACTAGTTATTATTTTATTAAAACTGAAGGTGATACAATTATTTAAATGTCCTTATAACAGGATATTCATCTTAAACCTGCTGAGATACCAGACAGATATCACTGAGTCCAAGAAGAAGATGGACAAAGTGAACATTCCACGCTACATGAGCATAGCCGAGTACTGTGCTGATGATGTGAAGGCACCACCCTACATGGAGCCAGTCTTTATGCTAGACAGGTAACACCGCTTTCAACTTTTTAACTCACAACAGAATGCTGTTTTAAATGCTTTCAGGGCCAATGAGAGAACATTTTCCCAACAGCTAGATTTACACTACACACCGTGCTCTTTATGCCATCCTTTTTTTTTATTCCTCATCTTACATTGTCATGGCACAGGGATGTGCAAATAAATGCGCTCCCCCCCTCCCCCCCCCCACATATAGGCTGCTAGTATCCCCCACACCCACAAATAAATACTGCTAGTATCCCCCACAAATAAATACTGCTAGTATCCCCCACAAATAAATACTGCTAGTATCCCCCACAAATAAATACTGCTAGTATCCCCCACAAATAAATACTGCTAGTATCCCCCACAAATAAATACTGCTAGTACCCCCCACAATTAAATGCTGCTAGTATCCCCCATATTTCTACCTCATAAGCCTTTAGTGCAAAATATTTAAGCCCTTCTTAACCTCACTGATTAAAGCATTTTTGTTGAAATGTAGAGAAGAAGTCTTGCAGTTTTCCTATGGCGATTCCTCCTTCATGCCTGCCCAACCTGATATTAGTGCCATCACAAGGCGAATGAAAAGGAGACAGGAAGGTGCACTGAGTAAACACCAGGTGTCGTTCTCACCTGTTCTCCTCATGGATAACAACAATGAAGATAACCTGATGAGTCCCAACCCACCTGTGGATGGTCTAGAAACGACTCCATCTTCACCCCTGAACACGGCTGGCTTATTCCCATTTGATGAATCCTACCAAAACTTTGGCTCCATTAACTGTGACCTTGACAGTGATCTCTTAGCCGGCAAATTTTCTGATCCAGTCCCCAAAGTCATCGTGACGGATCTGCTTGAGCCTGAAAAAAATCGCCTGGCGGCCTGGACGCCGTGGAGAGCCCAGAACCAGCTGCTGTGTCCAGGAGACGGCCAACCAAAACCACTGTGCATAGTCAAGCCGAAGAACGGCTCCAACTCCGGTTTGCTCATGACGTCCAACCCCGCCCTGAACCTGAACGAGGCTTTACTGAGCAACACAATGATGATGCAGCCGTTGACTATATCAACCGATGGGGAGTGCTTTGGACCGTCAACATCAAGCACCCCTGACATGCCTATGTTGGTCAACCTGAATCATCTGCCTTATGATGTGGAAACAGAGAGCGATCCATTTTCACCCAATAACCCCATGTATTCCAACAAATTTGATGACTCTCTGCCAACAAGGGATTGTGATATGGATTTTCCGTAAGACGTTACGTGGTCCTCACTGGTTCATGTTACCATTTCTCATAACATTTTGGCAAATTTAAATAACCCCTTTTTTTAAAAAATCAAATTTCGTTTCTTTTGATTTTGAAACCAGGAATGTTGCATTAAATTAACACTTTGGCATTTTAATTATTTTTTTTCCCCACCCTAACGTCTTTTAATGTTTACTAGTAATGTCTAATACTGTATTATCATGATATGAAATGATGTTAATTATATCAGTGCTTCTCGAAAAAAGAGAGAGAGGTAGTACTGGACTTCTGCTGCTGTCAGCAAACTTTCAGGACTGGGCCTTAAAAAAAAAAAAACCATCAATGAAGTGAACCATATGGGCTGCAATGTGCCCAAACTCTTTTGTGTCACAATTAAAAAATTTGGGAAGCATCTGACTATTTGATTGCTTATAGATAACATGATCAGCTGTTGATTACTTATAGATAACATCATCAGTTGTCATCTTTCTGTTGTGTTCAGTTGTTTGACTCACCAGATATTTGTTTACATTAACGATCTGAAAAGGTTAGCCCTTTTGTTTTTAAAATAGGTCAAAACGCCTGGCTGTTAATGTTATAACTGGTGCTTTTAAAGGCCAACATAAGGTTCTTTTATCTCATCAAATTTAAAATAAAATATCACAATTTTCATGATGTATCATTTTATTTCATTATACAAGTGCAGTCCAAATGACGGTCATTTTATTTCATTATACAGGTGAAGGCCAAATGATGGTCATATAATTACATTAATACAAGTATAGTACAAGGGACAGTCCGAAGTTACCTTGACTTTCGTTACATAAATTTAGTGTACATCGCACAGATCAAATTTGACAAATTTTCCCCTCTTCAGTTATTGCACAGAACTTTGCACAGTGCAGTTTCATAAATTAAACTATGATGCGCAGGAAGTAGTCAGTGGCAGTTGTTGTAACAGTTAGATAAGAACTTATTAATCTTAGGAAATTTAGTCTGTGTCTTCTCTTAGCTAGAAGTTACAACCAATTTAGTCAGTATCATCTGTTAGCTAGAAGTTACAACCAATTTAGTCTGTATCATCTGTTAGCTAGAAGTTACAACCAATTTAGTCAGTATCATCTGTTAGCTAGAAGTTACAAACATTTTAGTCAGTATCATCTGTTAGCTAGAAGTTACAACCAATTTAGTCAGTATCATCTGTTAGCTAGAAGTTACAACCAATTTAGTCAGTATCATCTGTTAGCTAGAAGTTACAACCAATTTAGTCAGTATCATCTGTTTGCTAGAAGTTACAACCAATTTAGTCAGTATCATCTGTTTGCTAGAAGTTACAACCAATTTAGTCAGTATCATCTGTTAGCTAGAAGTTACAACCAATTTAGTCAGTATCATCTGTTAGCTAGAAGTTACAACCAATTTAGTCAGTATCATCTGTTAGCTAGAAGTTACAAGAAGTTACAACCAATTTAGTCAGTATCATCTGTTAGCTAGAAGTTACAACCAATTTAGTCAGTATCATCTGTTAGCTAGAAGTTACAACCAATTTAGTCAGTATCATCTGTTAGCTAGAAGTTACAAACATTTTAGTCAGTATCATCCGTCTAACTAGAAGCTACAACTAGTTTAGTCAGCATCATCTGTTAGACAGAAGTTACAACCAACACTGGATGCTGTTGTAACCCCCTTGCTTTGGCTTCCCTTCAAACAGGATGTGTGCTGACGACACCCAACACATGGACCAGAACATGTCTAACACATTGCCACAGGAAGGCGGGCATGGTCAGGATTCAAGGCATTTCAGCTTCTCTGAGAAAGAGAAACCTGACGAGGTGACCGATGGGGCAGGTCAGCGTAATGGCACGGCTGATGATTGTGGTGCAGACGTTGGTGTTGATAAGAAGGCGGGTGACAGTGAACACCAGAGTAAAGGACAGAACACTCGGCTTTCAAAGGGCAGGAAGGTGGTTCTCTCTGTTCCAGGTCAGCTTTTCTTTTAAAATCATCTTTGAACATTGAGATAGTTTGCAACAGTGGTCCCCAAATGCCCGGTCTTTGGACCTTCACCGGTCCGCATGCCAAACGCTGCCGGTCCCCATAACATAAATATTTATTGTAAAATAGAAGTAAAAGTATAAAAATAAATCATGCACCGGTCCCTGGTAAAATTTCGAAACTTGTTCACCAGTCCGCCAAACTTAAAAGTTTGGGAACCACTGTTTTGCAAGATAATGCAAAAAAAAAAAAAGAAAACCTGTCACCCCATTTGGTGACAGGATTTTTGCATTATCTTGGGATTTTTTTTCTTTTCTCAAGACTCCTCTGGCTCTTCTTTATCTTATGGGATTGAATTTAGGTAGGTCAGGCTCCTTTGTGTTTATAATCACTACAGACCCCCCTGAAATTCATCTACTCAAAATCATGGTCTCGTTGTCTATGGACTTACTTTTGGTAATTGTAATTTCAATAAAGAATGCCAGACTCCTTCAGCCACACCTAAAAACAATTTAATTATGAAAAGTGCCCATAACTGTAAACTATAGCCACCTTTGATTCTATGCCGCATGCATCTGTAACAGACGATGTGCAGGACACCAAGCTTCTGGTCAAGACCCTGATCTCCAAGTTCTGGGAAGTGGAGAACTACATTCAGGAGTATGGGGAAGAGGCTGCCATGCTCTATGTGGAGACCAGTGTAAGGAATGTTTACTTTATCTTATAACTAATATTATTGATACTTTACCTGCTAGCGCTATGAATTGATTGCTTTGACTTTTCAGACACGAGAACCGTTAAGTCTTGTAAAGAATTTATTGAAATCAAAGGTTATTTTGTGAACTGTAAATAAAAAATACATTTGGGGACTGACACTAATTAGAAGGGTCGAGTACAAAAAAGTAGTTAAGTTAGAATTTTTTTTTTTTTTAATCATAAGACCGGCAGTGTATTTGATTACTTCCCCTGAAACATTCCTGTAAATATCATTCATTGTCATGAAAAATATACTTAAGAGTCTGATTTAGGAATACCTCTAGAAGCTTTTAAGGTATTTCAATATGAATTATAAACTTTAAACTCATCTTTCTCTAAACTGCAAAAATACACTTAATGACTTTTTCTACTCGGGTCTTCGACTGTTTCTTTTATCAAAATTGACAAATTTCACTAATAATCTGTTACTTGACTATCAAATTTAAAAGCAAAAAATTTTTCTTGATTTTAGTTTATTGATATAAACCCTTTTTATTTTACTGCTCATTCTTCAGGCTGTAATAACTGAAGTCAATAGCAGGATTGAAAGACAGAGGAAGGTTACAGAACCCACCAATGATGAATCTGGCTCAGCCGCCAACCAGAGTGACCACTCGCCTACTCACCAGGTGGCCGTGTGTCACCTGCTCATGAACCTAGCCCTTGGCTCCGATGAGGATGAAATTGGTAATGATGGTTTGTTGAGTAGTCGAAAAATGGCTGAACCAATCAACTATGGGTAGGATGTAAAAAGTATGTCAGCAACATTAAGTATGGTGGCAGGTCAATAGGTTCAAGGTCTTTTTATTGAATATCTCATCTTTGAACATTTCTTAAGAGCTTAGGTCTTCTTCTCTTCTTCTACATTTTGAGGGCCCACGATCAATGGATTGATCATTCTGGCTCCTATGTTTCAGAGGGGTTCGCGATGTTACTGTGCATGAGTTTCAAGGGGATACTTCACTGGCCTACTTTAATAATAATAATAAATACACACATATGTTATCAATAATCTGAATTCCTGGTGTAGATTCTGGCACAAGACTTAATGAAGGCCAAAATGCAAAGTGTTTTGTTATTATAAAACTGGACGTAAGACTTTTCCCCAAATAAGTAAAATAATTGGGAATTTATAGGGGGAAAAATTGAATAACTTAGATTCGTTTCGAGACCAGAACATTTGCTGCAAAATGATTCAGAATAAGTAATAAATACTGAAACTCTCAGGTTTAACTTACACAATTTTTACTAAATTTATGCCTCTTAAACAGGGGTGGCGTATTTAGCAACAGGGGTGCTCAAAATCATACATGCATTTTAATTTGACCAGAACCTATTTATGTAATGATGATAAGACAGATGGCTCCAAAAGTAAATACTTGAATAATAAAACTTAGCACAGTTTGTAATGAGAACATACATGACTTCACCCAAAGTGATTTCAAAAAAATTTTCTTGCATAACTTGCAAATAACTTGATTTGTTTTTCATTTTTTAATATATTTTTTTTTGCATCATTATTAAAGCAATTGAGCCGCTATTTCAAGCTGGTCTTTCAAAAGCGCTTTCCCTGTGGTTTGTCACTGATTGATTGATGTCAAAAATACGGCATGTGGTAATCCATCAAGATTGCCATCGTTTGATTGCCCAGGCTTTGAGCAACATTACAGATAACATTTTTCAAGATAAATATTTTTTTTTTCTTTATTGCCAGAGACTGCATTGGATGACGACCACTGTGAGATGATCTGCAAGGACATCTTTCTCACTCGCTACTCTAGCTATGACAAGGAGGACAAGAAAAGAGATCACCTCATTGAGAATCTCTGTCTCTATTTGGCTGCTAAAAAATTGGGCATAGCCAAGCCAGACACACCTAAAAAAACAATGAGAAGTCCTGAAGCAGCCAGGGCTGGACACAGTACAGACAGGGTTGAATGGAAAGATCAGTCCCAAGCGGAAAGTCCAGTTGACTCTATGGTTAATTCACCAGAGAGTGACGATGAGATTTCATTTAAATCTCTTCCTTCTAAAGACACAGAGGGCTGTGCAGTGGTGGATGAGAAAAGAAAAACGGAGCATTCGCAGAGTGAGAACCTTGGGGAAAGCTCCTCTGGCAATCGCATAATCACCGTCACATCAGTCATGCCAAAGGGTCGAGAAAAGCACAGGGATGAAAGTAAAGTCGCTGGCAGTTTGGCAGTATCCACGAGTCACCATGTCCGGGCAGTGCCGGCCCAGCAAGAGCATCAGTACTTTGGCTTACCTAATGTGCCGAACTTCAACCTCATTCAGGACAGAGATTTTTCATGTTACACCGAGGAGGAGCTGCAGTCTGTCGATTTGGCCTCATTGACGGAGGATGAGATGATGCAGTACGCACAAGCTCTGAGCAAGCTTCAGTATGTGAGGGATCAAAAGGCTAAACCAGATGACGACTGCCCGATGGAGCTTTGTGACCTCAGCCAAGATGAAGCAATGAGTCCCAACATTAGCGACCTTGCTAATGAATGTGACCATTTGTCTGAAGTTTTACAAGACAGTTCCTCACTCGGTCCTTCTCCTTCGGGAATGAAACTGACCACTGAGAGAAATCAATCTAGTTCTCACACTGCTGCCGTTCTACAGCAAAGTGTTTTCTCAGATGCCTGCGTCCCAACCATCAAGGAGATGGCGTCTACACAGGGGAACGAGCAGCCTAACGAGGTTCAGTTGACTTGTGAGGAAAATCTGAGTGATTTAGATGAGCCAGATGGGCTGGTTCAAATAGATACACCACTTATCAAAGACTACTATAAGTCTAAAGATGTGGTGAAAACAGACATAAAGAATTCTCTGAAATGTCACTCGACACCAGCAAGAGATGATTACTATTATGATTATGGCATGTTAAATCAGGCTGACTTTGGGTCCCAGCCCATGGATATGAACATGTCCTTTCCTGAGTCTCAAAGTTTATTTTGTGATACACCAAGTGAGGCCAAGTCTGAGAGACAGTCTCCCAAAGTTCTGCTGGATAAGTGCAATACATCTTCAGAAAATGGTAAATCCCATAAAAAAATCAGCAGGCTCGATGCCGATAATGGTGAGACTGTGCATAAATCAACATCAGACACTAAATGTTCCCCATCAACGATGACGGACAAGCTTCCAAAGAGTCAGCCAGACAGCACCGACCACGTGGTGCCGAGCTCGGCTCACCCCAGCCCCAGGAAAGATTCTTATTTATTCTCACCTTCCAAACCCAACAACCTCACCAAGACCAGGGATTACTCTCGTCTGCGCAGCCCGTCTGCGTCTCCCAGAAAACGCAACAACAGAACTCAGTCCAGGTCTAGTTCGGCCACAAAAAAACTTCTTTTCCCAGCTGATGAAAGAGGGGCCAAAACTTCAGCCAACACCGAGTTAGAATCTTTCTTAGATTTCCCCAAAAATTCATTCCTTGAAGTGAATATAGACGATAATTTTATCTTGGACCGTAATGAAGATTGTGTCATAACCTCTGCGTCTGTTGAGACCAGCAGGCCAGCTGCTTTTTCTCCAACCATCAGAAAAAAGTTAAATAACTCTCATGTGATATCTCCTAGTGTATCAAAACATACCTCAAAACTTGAACCAACCGCAGCTGCACAACCACTGGTTGAATCGGTGCAAGCCGAACCAGCTCACCCCAAACCTGACGCAGGAGCAGACTCGCATGAGCCTTCAGTGTCATTTGCCAGGGTGGAAAAGTTTGCATCAAATGAAAAGCTGCAAGAAAATACAAACTCTGAACGTTCCCAAGCCACCGGCAAGTCAAGAACAGTGAGGTCGGGATGCTTTTCAAGTACAGGTGAGTCAGTGCTAACATAACATTGTTTATTGTCAGTTTTTATTATGTGTATGTTGAAGTAGAGTTGATAAGATTATTGAGAGTGTAAGGTAAAGTTTTGTGAAAGAGGGAAAGTGTTGAATTTCTTTAATATCTTCAAAAGTTATTTTTAAAAAACACATATTCAATTTGAGGGAGGGGGGGGGGTACTAATAAACTCCCCTGTAATATTACATTTGGTTGGCAGCCTTGTTGAAAAGATAACAAAAATGTATAATTTGTTGCTCATTGTTTCAAATGGATCCATTAAGAGGTTTAAAGGGACTTTCTTTTTTAAATATGATAAATCCTAATCACCACACTCGATTAAAGAACATGATTTATATACGTCACCAAACATACAAAATAAAATAATTGAACATTATAGACTCTGTACACAATGAAAAGGGCACCAGTATGATACACCTTATCTAACCATCCATATCATCACTGGAACTCTCCAAACACATAACTAACCATCCTAATCATCACCGGAACCCTCTAAACACTAAACTAACCATCCATATCATCACTGGAGCTCTCTAAACACTTAATTCAGGTTTTCTAAATTTTAGAGGACACACTAAAATCCTAATAACTTCAAACCAAATTTTTTAAACATTTTGTTTGGAAATGGGACAGAAAATGTCTTTACTACTAATGCAATTATTAACTATTTTTACAGGACGTTGGGATGCCCTGTATCTTAATAAAATTGTAAAGTGCACTTCCGAAAGCCCATTTAGAGTTACAGATGCAATATATAATTTGGAGTGATGGTCACCTAAATGAAATATTTTATCCAATATTTACAAATATTTTCTTCTTCTTAGTCATTCTCACTCCCAATGGAGCATAGGCCATCCACAATAGTTTTCATCTGTCCCTGTCCTGGGCTATCTTTGCTAGTTCATCCCAGCTTTTCTTCATTCTCTTCACCTCTGTCTCTACTCCCCTCTTCCATGTGGCTCTTGGTCTTCCTCTTTTCCTGGCACTGGTACCTTGAGGATTCCAGTGCAGGGCCTGTTTTGTCAGTATTTTGTTTTGTTCCAGATGTTCCGCAGGGCATTGAATGCTTCTCTGGCCTTTCAGACCCTAGACTTTATGTCCTCATCTGTGCCACCATTTTAATTTATGATGCTTCCCAGGTATGTAAAAAGTCTCAACCTCTTCAAGAGACGCTCCTCTCAGGTTAATCCCAATGACTCCATCAGAACTGTTTACTCTTACGATTTTGGCGTACAATGTACGATTTTGAGATGTATACATTATATTTACTGTATTTTTATTTTTTACTATTAAGATAATGTATTGAACGATTTTGTGATGATATTGTACGATTTTAAGAGTTTGAGGGTAAACAGGTCTGCTCCATCATCCACTGCATTTATTCTTAAGCTCTTGGTTTGCCCTTTATTTTTGCTAAGTCCAACTTGCTGCGATACATAGTCAAGTTTTGTTTTCTCCTGCATTTGTTTATGGCTATGTGATAAAAGTGCAATGTCATCTGCAAAATCCAAATCCTCCACCTGTCTGAAAGGTGTCCACTGGATTCCATTTTTCCCATCCTGTGTTGTTTCTCTTATGATCCAGTCAATGGATAACAGAAAGAGGAGTGATGTGAGCAGGCATTTACACACAGGAATAGCAACTATATGATACAGGCCGGTGGTAAAATATAAACATGTTTGTGTCAAAGCTTTTTTCCGGCATTTTATAAACTGGACTGTGTGAAATGTAAGAGCTGATTGTTTATATAGGTTTGAAAGAAACAGAAACTGCTGCATAGTTGGTTGTTTCACGATAATTTTGTTTTTTTTATTTTCAGAGGAGAAAGAGAATGATCCTGCAGACTTGGCCAGGAATAAACGATTGGAGAACATAGAGGTATGAGTTTTATAGGGTAATAAGTTGGCTGTTTGTTGAGATTTAGTTCAACAGCATTAAAAATTGTATTTTATTTAGGTACAAGTTAAACAAGATAACATATGCCACACTGGCATTGAAAATATTTTAATGACTTTATATTGTATTGCTGGCATTTTAAATTTCTGGAATGAAAATTTCAATATATATATAAAAATATATATGAACATTGTTTCAATCAAATGTCATTTTTAGGCAAAAGAGAAGTCAATTCAATTTTCAAGTTCATTGGTTGTTTAATTAACATGCATTTCTGGGGGTTAAATCTACATGCTATGTATACTGTCACGGGAATGTGATGAAACTCATTCTGCAACTGTTTTTATTACAGCTGAGTATCAGTTGGGAATAGATAGTTTCTGTTAAACACACTGAGCTGTGCATAGTGCTGTGTAAGGCAGCATCTGAATAAAATGATTTTGCACAGAAAGTAGAATGAGAGCAGCAGTTACAAAAAACGTTTGATTTACTGCTCGGTTCAAGACTAAATTTTGGTCTAAGGGCAATGATAGAAATGATACATTTATTTAGTTCACTGATAAGAGCTGGTCAGATAAATATTGTTCTCGTATTTAACTTGGGATATTGTAAATTTATTTGTAAATTTGTGACTTGTAAATCAAAATTGTAAATTTAAGAGTGCACTGTGGAATGCTCTATTAATGTAAACTTCTGTAAAGGAAGTCCCTCTTGATAAGTCTTTGATAAGTGACATCTTAAACAGCTTAATTTTTTTTTAACCAGATTTTTCGATGATAAAGAAAATTACTGGTGAAAAAAAACAATGAAGTTCATTAAGGAGAGGACTTTTAACTTATTATATTAATTTAATTAAATGAAGGTCTTTTAAGATATAGATACTAACACCTGTCTCCTCCTCAAACCCACAGTTGGGAAAAGCCGATTTCTCTTACCGTCTTGTAGGAATAGTGAACCATCATGGAGAGTCTTTGTATGCAGGTAAGCTAGTGGCGGACTTAATGTGGATTTTACCTTTGCAGACCAAGTTATAATAGTTTCTTAGGACAGGGGAAAAAAAAAAAAAAAAATTTATAGTACCGGCATATAATATATTACTCTTGAAAGTACTGCTTTAGCTAATGTAGTTATAGGCTTAAACAATTAAAGTTATGCCTCAAGGGTTTTATTTAAGCTTCCGAAATTGCCATCTCATTTTTATGAGAACTTTTGAACGTGGAATAGCAAAGAGATGTATGCTAGTTAATGTTAACTTTTGCTCAACTGATGGCGGTAGTGGAAAATATTTTCTTATTAAAATGTTCTTCTTAGGTCACTACACTGCTTTTGCTTACAATCTGAGTAAACAGAAATGGTTTTACATGGACGACAGGCACACCAAGGAAACCACTGAGATGACTGCCAGGAGGGACAGCCTCAATTCTGGTTACGTCTTTTTCTATATGGACAAGTGAGTTGGGAATTGAGTCAATCAAGTATTTTTATAGCAATTTAAGAAACAAAAATTTTGTTAATTCTTTGTGGCTTTTTTTTTTTTGGATTGACAGTACAAATATTAAAAAACGAATACACAATTCTAATACAGAAACTGTCCTGATGTTTCATTGACCCAAAAAGTTATGAGCAATTTTTGGGGGGGGGGGGGGGGGGTGATTTATGGAATTTATAGTTCATAAAGAAAAATGTCCAACTGTAGATAAGGTGTATTAACAAAATATAAGGTTAAACTATCTTAAAAATAGCCAAGCCATTTTAACAATTTATTTAGAGATTCCAATATTATTCCAACATGGTTTTCTTGATGACATTCCAGAGACCTGTTCCACGAATATGCTGAGAAAGTGGGAGAGACATCTGCTGCTAAATTTCAATCATGAGGACACCAACAATCTACCAAGGTCTCCTGATCTCAGTGCAATCTTTTCCCTGGAGTAAATGGGGCATAACTCTTTTAACAACTATTGGAGTACCTTGGTGTCATTGGAATTGTCTCCCCTTAACACCACCTGTATAGTATGTGTACCGCTTCATTTCAGAATTTTTAAAACTGTTGACATCAAAAGTTTTTGTTTGATTCATTTCAAACTGCTGCCTGCTGTACACTTCAGGGCATTTGTGCACACTGAATTGATTTGTCTAGCCCACATTTTGACATTGGATGACTTCAGTGTTCAACTTACCTTCCGCAAGTCAACCTGATAGGACTGTATTTATATTTCAGGTGAATTTAACTGCCATTTCAAAATGTAACTTTGATGTCAATTTTAATTTTTTTATCTCATCCGTTACCTTGCAAATTTTTTAAACTTTCAAAACTGTGTGTGTAAATTGTAGGACTTTACAAAAATCATTAATGTAAGACGCTTGCTGATTGAGGACATTGTCCCAGCTCTATATTTTCCTTTCAAATGGCATAATAATGGCAGTCTATTAACTGGTCCCTGTGTATTTAGGGCACCTGTGGAGATGTATATTTAGCTTGACTTATCTGGGACTGTTGTGGAGCTGGGGCCAAAATTTTTTTACTCAGTGACCCTGTACAATTCCTGATTTGTTTCTCTGTATTAAGTCATGTGCTTGAGTTTATTCTGGTATTTACTGTGTCTGGGGACTTGAATGTGTACTCACGTAATAAAACAATAAATATTACTTTTCACTGCTTGTTCATTTAATTTTCTTGTAGATCTAGTCAAAGCAAACTTAATTACTAACCAATGTATCAAGGTGGTGCTACACAATCCATGGCTTAGTTGTATCGGTAACAATAAAGACTGGCGATTCGCATGTTCTTACCTACAAAACATAATCTCCCTTTAATTTTTTTTTTTTTGTACCAGGCCACTGTTGCATTTAAGAGTTCTTTTATGATTTAAATGTTTATCTCTATGTAAAATATATGACTGTGGGAAAGCACCCATATGATTTATCATAACCTCTAACTCTACTTGCAAAACACCCCATTGATTTATCATAAACTCTAATTCTACTTGCAAAACACCCCATTGATTTATCATAACCTCTAACTTACTTGCAAAACACCCCAAGACAACAGACTTCTAATATGCTCCATTAGACACCATGAACCTACAAAGCTACCGCCCTATAATCACCTCACTTAGGTTAATTTCAATACAAATCTTGGCAAGTGCCTCAGATATTCTGAATACTTGAAGACTTCCTCTGTCTGCTACTCACCAGTAAATCTTTTCATCATCATCTACTTGGACACTTGGCTAATACACTAACCCCTGCATGTTGGACTCTTGATTTAATTAAAAAATGTTGTTTTTGGTTGATGTAAACCTACATTTCTCCATACAAGTTCTCATGACATGATTTTACTAGTCATATGTAAGAACTAAGGGTGCTTTACAAAGTCCATCCTAGCGTTCTTTCATCATACTGTATAGAGAAAGAAATAAAGTTTACCACTAGGGTTACCATCAGCCATCAAAGCCCACCATTGGTCATCAAAGCCCACCAATGGCCATCAAAGCCCACCATTGGCCATCAAAGCCCACCATCGGCCATCAAAGCCCACCATCAGCCATCAAAGCCCACCAAAGGCCATCAAATCCCACCAATGGCCATCACAGCCCACCAACCAATGGCCATCTAAGCCCACCATTGGCCATCAAAGCCCACCATCGGCCATCAAAGCCCACCATCAGCCATCAAAGCCCACCAATGGCCATCAAAGCCCACCAATGGCCATCAAAGCCCACCATTGGCCATCAAAGCCTGCCATCAAAGCCCACCATCGGCCATCAAAGCCTGCCATCAAAGCCCACCATCAGCCATCAAAGCCACCATCGGCCATCAAAGCCCACCATCGGCCATCAAAGCCTACCATCGGCCATCAAAGCCCCAAAAAATGCTTTTAATCAAATATAAACCCTGATTTCTCAGCGAGTTTCCTAATCTTCTTGTTTGATTTGAACATGCATGGTCATATAGAGGAACAATTCAACACTGGTTAGATGGCCATAAAATGAACTGGTCAATTTTTTATTGGGTTTTACTTTCTATGATATGAAGTATATATGAAGTAAAATACTAACTGGGCAACACAACCTCACTACACGGTTAAAATATGGGAACATGTGCGTAATCTATAACAAATGTTTCCAGACTGTGATGCCCTCTCACTCGCGGGAGACTTGCGGTCAATACAACTCATCATTCATGGGCAAAAGTCAAGTTTATTTTGAAAATTCAGTTCCTTTACATAGTGGTTTTTTTTGTTGTTTTTTTTTTGGTTTTTGTGTGTTCAGCAACATGGTCAAGATGGTTTAGTATATCATTCAACCGTTGAATGCATCAGAAACGTGGGGGTCATCTTCTCGAGCTTCACTCAGGTGTTCTTGACAAAAATCACAATTAAAAAAAAAAGATTTTTCATTTTCCGCTGCAATAAAGCTAATTTGTGTTGTTGACGAATGTTTCGCTCAGCATTCTAGTATAATTCTGGTTATGCAAAGACCCCTATCGACACCTCCCTATTCACCATCACCACATTTAGACGAGAAGGCTACGTTGCTATCATCATCACTGCAATTGAAGCATAAGTAGTTTCATGGCAGCAATGCTATGTTGAAACATTTAGGTTTTATTTTCTCTGATGACCGATTTTACCAAATTACTCTAAGCCAGGGGGTCCTCACAATTTTTTAAACAGTTCACCGTCCTTAGGGGGCCGGAATAATTAAAAGAAAAATATGAACGAATTCATATACATATACACGTACATATTTTATTTGTTGTGCAAAAAAAAAAAACCAGGAAGAAACAATATATTATTAAAAATAAAGAATTCTTCGCATTGGCATAAACTTATTAGGTTAGTATTTCAATGGGAAGTATTTGGGACATTTGTGGCTTATGACATGATGAATATCCAGTTCCATATTTGTCATATAATTTGTAACATGTGATGTAAGTATGAATCTATTAGTCTACTTCTGGTTGGAGAATTCGGATGCTTAATTGTGGAAAAAGTCTATTCACAGACTTAGATCAGGGTTTCTTTCAGCTAGATCTCGGGGGGAGGGGGGGGGCAGACGTTTTCCCCCTTCACTTGTGTCACTAGGAGATCTCATTTTCCTTCCAATGCTTCCACACACGAATGCGTCTGTTTGCAACTCTCAGAGAGGCAAATTGGCAGATCTCTTAAGAAATTTTCCGCAAAATTTTAACGTGTGAACTGATAAAAGATTCACCAAATTTCCGTCAGATCAAATTTCCGTCGATCAATTTTCGGTCGACAAAATTTCTTTCAAACAAAATTCCGGTAAACCAAATTTCTTGCCCACCAGAGCCTCACAGCCCACCAGGGCCTCACAGCCCACCTCGCCCACCAGTGCCTCACAGCCCACCTCGCCCACCAGAGCCTCACAGCCCACCTCGCCCACCAGGGCCTCACAGCCCATCTCGCCCACCAGAGCCTCTCAGCCCACCTCTCCACCAGAGCCTCACAGCCAACCTCGCCCACCAGAGCCTCACAGCCCACCAGAGCCTCACAGCCCACCAGAGCCTCACAGCCCACCA